TCAGTATGTTGATTCACTGGCCATAAAGGAAATGCAAATCAAAACCACACTAAGATTCCACCTCACCCCTGTTAGAATAGCCATCATCCAAAACAACACCAACAACAAGTGTTGGCGAGGATGTGGGAAAAAAGGAATCCTAATCCACTGCTGGTGGGAATGCAAGCTGGTACAACAACTCTGGAAAAACATTTGGAGGCTTCTTAAAAATCTAAACATAGACCTGCCATGTGACCCAGCAATCCCACTCCTGGGGATATACCCAGAGGAATGTACAGCACTATTCACAATAGCCAAGTTATGGAAACAACCAAGATTCCCCACTACTGATGAATGGATCAAGAAAATGTGGTACTTGTACACAATGGAATTTTACTCAGCCATGAAGAAAAATGAAATCTTATCATTTGCAGGTAAATGGATGGAACTGGAGAACATCATTCTGAATGAGGTCAGCCAGGCTCAGAAGACCAAAAATCATGTTCTCCCTCATATGCAGACATTAGATCTAGGGCAAATGCAGAAATATGGTTGGACTTGGATCACATGACAAGGGGAGAGCACATACGGGAGATATAGGAATAAATAGAAAACCCAAAACATGAAAGCATTTGATGTCCCCACTCCAGAACTAATACAGAAACCTTAAAACAACAGGTTATCATGAGCAAGGGATCAGGAACCAATGTAAAGATCAGTTAGAGTTGAATCAACATGGGTCGTAACACATGGGTATGTGAAAGCAATAGTAGGAATCTTTCTGTATAACTATCCTTAACTCAGCTAGCAAAAATGCTTTGTCTTTCTTATTATGCCTGAAACTGAGGGGGAGGAAGGGGGTGGGGGGCAGGGTGGAGAAATGACCCAAACAATCTATGCACATGTGAATAAATAAACAAAAAAAATTAAAATTAAAAATTAGGTGAAAGCAGAGTCTCAAAGACAAAAAGAAAAAAAAGACAAGAGTGTTCTTTTTAGATTGGAACATTATATCCCATTCTAAACCTTTGTACTATGCTTCTTTTAGAACAGCAGTTACATAGATGCTTTAATTACAGCATATAGGTTATACCGAATAATAAGGAATATGTGTTTCTAAAAGGAAAACACTTGAAAGTACATTTACAGTCTATCCAACTAGAGTTCCTTCTTAGAATTGAATATTGTCTCACATTCTAATACTTGTTTCTATACTCCTTTAAGAAGAGCAGTTACATATTCTTTGTATTATGGCCTATGATGAGGAGTAAGAATGAGTGTTTCTAGAAGAAAATCACTTGAATGAACTTTCAATGTGCATCATTCAGAATTATTTCTCCAGAATTGAACATTGTCCCACATTCTAGAAATTGTTGCTAAGCTGCCTTTTGAAGAGCAGTTACATACTTCTTTACATACAGCTTGGAGCCCTACAGGGAGGGTCTAGGAATGGTTCTAAGAAGAAATCACTTGTAAGAACATTCAAAGTTCATCATATAGAGTTCTTTCTTATGGACATTTCTAATGGAACATTGCCCCACATTCTATAACTTGCTAGTAAACTGCTTTTAGAAGAGCAGTTACATAATTCTTTTTATTTCATTCTGTAGGCCTACAATGAGGAATAAGCACAAATATTTCTGTTGGGTCTGGGGGGTCAGAAGACAGAAATGAACCAGTGCCCCCATCCCCCATGAGAGCACTGTGAGCCCTATATCCTGTAAAGATACATGCAGTTTCACACATCATGGCCCCATGGGGATGCCTCAAAAATGCCACAAGGCCAATAAGCAGGAGGTTTTCACAGGACTGTGTATATGTTCCTGCAGAGATATGACAAAAGACCACTCCACCCCTGACTTTTGACTCCCCCTTACCAACAAAAAGGGCCAAATAAAAAACCCCTCTATATAAACAATGGGGAGCTACCAATTTTCTGGGCTCCCTGTCTGTCTCCAGGGGCAGCGTTTTCTTTTTCTCTTAAATCCTATTTTGTCTCCTGATCTTGTTGTCTCATGAATCAATCTGCTGCCTCACAAGCCAATTCTTTGGTCCATGGAGACAAGAATTCTCGACACTGGCCTGCAACATTTCTAGCAACCACAAAGGGACACCTCTCCTGGACCAAGGTCAGTACAACTGAACACCAAACCAGCAGGAGTTTGCCTAAGGTGCGACTGTGAGCCTCCAGTGCCCTGCTGGATACTCCTGTTGGAAAAAACCCCCTACCAAGGACTAGCCAAAAGCAGACTTCCCTGTGCCACCCCCCTGTCTCTCTCATTCTGTTCCTGTCTTCCTGAGGGACTTTCCTGTCAGGGTATTGGACCAACAGCTCCCAGCTCACTTTGGCCTCATGGTGATTCTAGATCTGGGGTTCTGTCTGCTCCCTCCCTGGGAGTCAAGACTGAGTCTGGGGTTGATTCAGGTATGCCTTATTCTATGTTGGAGGAGGCCTGTTTGGTTTTGGCACCTGGTGTTCTTCTTCCCCCACCTGTCGGTACCTCCTTCTGCTGGAGGCACTAGCCTAAGAGTGGAGATTTTGTGTGGCTGACAGTGTTCCAGTACCACTTAGTGGGAGCAACCTGAAAACATACCTAATCATTAATCCCTTGAGCATGTGCTGGATTTTTGGGAACAGATGCTCCCTCAGTTCTCTCACTGCCGTGTTTGTCTCTGTCTGCTTTCCCCTCCCTATGTTTACAGGGACCCTGGCTTCCCATGGGGAACACATACCATAGTTTGTTATGACTTTCTTGAGTTATTCTTGCACCTAGTTTGTCATGCTCTTTGGTCCACACCAGTTCTAAGTCAGCTGCTAGGTACAAGTGGAGGTGAAAGCACCACATGGAACTGTGGCTCCAGGGGCCGGACATGGTGGGGATGAGGACTGACACAGAACTCCCTGCAAGGGGAGGAGGGGAAGTGCATGTGTGCATGGGGATGCTGTCCTGTCCCGCCAAGCTCCTGGGCACAGAAGCACTGCCTGCTGTAGTTAAGGCTTCCATGGGAAGGGCCAGCTGGTGTCCAGAGTTGCTGCCACCTCCAGGTGCACTGCAGCAACTGTGACCTGCTGCCACTCCCCCAAAAAGGAATGGGGGGTGGGAAACAAGTGCTCATGCATGTGGATGCACAGGAGGAGGAGCAGCAAGAAACAGGGGCAGGCTTGGGAGGAGGGGGGTCACTTGTCCTGGGTGTGGGGAGGGTGGCAGTGCCTTGCCCAGCCATGGCACACACTCAGCCCTGCACCCAGCCCTACTTTGCACCCAAACTGTTGCAGGAAACAGGGAAACAAAGTCACCAAAACCATTTTTACAGAAAGCAGGGAGTTTATTATGCTAGATGACTTGGGAAATAATTTCTCAAAGTCCTGAGCCCTCATCTGTGTCAGGAGCTGGGTTAAATACTTACAGAGTTTGCCCCTTACCCTCCCATAGAATGCAGTCACAGTTACAGGAAACATTGCAAAGCAAGCTGGAGGCTTTATGGGCACTTCTTCAGGTGATTCATCCCTTTGTTAAAGAGGTAGCCTTCCATTTGGCTGCCTGCTTTTGGTGATATAAGGCTAAAAGGTAGGATCCTAGTGGTTTTCACTGTGTTGGTAGGATCCCCTAGTCCAACTAGTGACTACATTTCCTTCAGTCCTGGCCAAGGATGGCAGATGGAAATCACAAGATAGGGGTGCCTGCTCTCATCAGGTCAATCCCCAGTTGGGATGACCAATGAAAGGGGAGTCTGACAAGTTTTTCAAGATGGAACCTGCCCCCTCCAGTCTTCTGGCCTCCGTACCCAAGTGGTCTCTACTGACCTGTGTACTGAAATGTTGGAAAGACCTTGACCCTAATAAACTCAAGAAAAACAACCCTCATCTTTCTTTGTATTGAGGCCTGGACCCAATATCCCTTGGATGACCAAGGAAAGTGGCCTTCACAGGGCTCCATAAATTATAATACCACACTACAATTAGACCTTTTCTGTAAAAGGGAGGAAAGTGGGCTGAGATCTTCTATATACAGCTTTTCTGTTATCTCTGGGACCACCCAAAATAGCTCCATAATTGCTGTCTAACTACTCAAACACTGACTATTTCTTGTAAGCCACAGGATAAACACAGGGAAGGAAGGCCAAAAAAGCCCCTTATCAGTGACAAGACCTGTCCCTACTGCTCCACCCTCTGCCCCATCTTTTGAGTCACCCCAATAATTTGGACCTTCTAATGGATGCTTCCCCTTCAACAAGCAGTGGTAGGAGGAGGGCGAGTCTATGTCCCCTTCCAGTTATCAGATCTAAAGGAGATTTAAAAGAATTGGGGTAACTATACTGATTTCCTGGACCAATATATCCAAGCCTTTATCTCTGTGATCCAAATCTTTGAACTGGCATGGAAGGACACCAGGCTTCTCCTGGACCAGACTCTTTCCTCATTAGAAAAACAACGGGTCCTAGACCAGGCTACTCAAGTTGGAAGTGATTTCCATCTACAACAAGCCCCAATACCCATGGCACCTGAAAATGAGAAAATAAATATGCTCATGTCACGGGGCACAGGCAGTTCCCTTGGCATATCCACACTGGGATCAAAATGAAGAGGGGAATGAATGGCATTGACAACACTTCATCCATCTCACAGTGGTAGGGCTGAAAGGGGCCAAAATCAAACCTCTAAACTATTCCCAGGTGACTGTAGTACAGTAAGGCCCTGAAGAAAACCCCCTTACCTTTCTATAGTGTCTTAAGGATGCTGTCCAAAAGCATACCACAGTGGACCCAGAATCACAGGTGGGAGAGGTTCTCCTCAAAGATTAATTTCTAACTCAGTCAGCCCCAGATATCTGTAGAAAACTCCAAAAGTCTGTGCTAAATGGGAAAAGTCATTGGACCAACTAATGCAACTAGCCATGTCTGTATACTATAACCAGGATCTCACTAAAAAGAGAGAAAAGGATAAAAACAAAATCATGACCTGGTCACAGCTCTCAGGGAGTGCCCCACCCAACAAGGCCCTACATCCTGAATTTGCTACCATGTGGACAGGAGGGGCACTTCCACAGGGAATGCCCAAAAGTGGAACATCCCTGGCCCCCCACTGGGACCCTGTCCCTGCTGCAAAGGTAACCACTGGAGGTCTAAGTTCCCCTGTCTCCAGACAGAAGGTGAGGTGCCACCTTTTATGTATTGATAGGTCTTCGGGCCTCCTGTCCAGGCTCCACTTCTTGACACCAATGTTGAGGAGCCTCGGGTACCCATAATAGTAGAGAAGTGAAAGGTCATTTTCTTCCTGGATAGTGGAGCCTGCTTCTCTGTCCTCCCTTTCTCTCCAGGTCCCAGGTCCAAAGATAAAACAGTTGTTTGGGGCATATCTAGCCAGCCTCTTGAGCGTTATTTCACCTGGCCACTGGCCTGCTCATGGGGGAACCCCCACTTCTATGACTATTTCCTTGTGGTCCCTGAAACTCCAATAACCCTGCTGGGGTGAGACTTACTGTCCCAACTTAAAGTCCAAATTCTACTTACCCCCAAGGGAAAGAACAGGTAGATCCCACAGTTTGGAGTGATGGTACAACTGTTGGTCAAAGAAAAACTGCTCTTCCTGTACAATAAAGCTAAATGATCCCTCCAATTCCCCCACTGAAAGCAATATCCCTTAAAGCCTAAAGGGCAACAGGGCATATTGCCCATTACATATTATAACTCCCTAAAACAGCAGGGACTTTAGGTGAAATGCTCAAGCCCCTATAATACTCCTATTCTTGCTGTCTGTGAAGGTTGGTTCAGGACCTGTGACTCATTAATGAGGCTGTTGTTCCCCTTCATCTAGTTGTCCCCAACCTTTATAGTCTATTGGCACAGATACATCCAGAAGCATAATACTACTCTGTGATAGATCTAAAGGATGCCTTCTTCTGCATTCCTTTACATCCTGATAGCCTTCCTCTGTTTGCCTTTAAAGACCCCACTAAACCCTCACAACATCAAGCTAGCCAATTCATGTCCTTCTGGAACAACATATGGAGCTGGGCTCCTTGGGTACTACCTCTGTTGGCCCCTTTTATGTTTCTTCTGGCACTCCTGTTTGGGTCTTGTGTAATAAATACTCTCTTCAGATTCATATCTCAACAGATCCAATGGATCAAAGACCAGCTCTTAGTCAAGGAATACTCACCTCTGCGTATGCATGAGTCCTCCATCCAGTTCTATTGGGGGCCTCTGGAGACTACACAGGTCAACCTCTAAGACAAGTACCACCACACCTACCACCCATTGGGCCATTGTCAACAAGAAACAGCTAGATGAGTCATTGCCCCGCTCCCCAAGAGCAGTTGGGTACTTGTCTCAGAGGGGGGGACTAGTTGGGTCTGGGGGAATCAGAAGACAAAAATGACCAGTGCCTCCATCCCCCATGAGAGCACTGTGAGCCCTATATCCTGTGAAGGGACATGTGGTTTCACAAACATGGCCTTCTGAGATGCCTCAAAATGCCACAAGGCTGATAAACAGGAGGCTTTTACAGAACTGTGTATATGCTCCTGTTGTGAATATATTAACATACATGTTAAAAGGCCACTCCACCCCTGACTCCTGACTCCTAACTCCCCTCCAAACAAAAAGGACCTAATAAAAAACCCCTCTATATAAACAACAGGGAACTACCAATCTTCCAGGCTTCCTATCTGTCTCTAGGGGCAGCTTTTCCTTTCTCTCTGATAAATCCTACTTTGTGTGCTGACCTTGTTGTCTCATGAGTCAATCTGCTGCTTCATGAGCCAGTTCTTTGGCCCGTGGAGGCAAGAACTCTCCATACTGGCCTGCAACATTTCTACAAGGAAAAATCCTGAAGATATTTTTTAAAGTCCATACTATATAGAGGAACATTTTTCTACATTAAAAACTTTCTAAGCTGCTTTTAGAAATGTATGTACATACTTCTGTGTATTGTAGCCTATAGGCCTGCAATGAAGAATGTTTTTCTAGAAGGACCATGGACCAAGTTGCCAACTGAAGATGAGAAGTAGAATCACTGGCCTTTCTCCTCCCCTTGTCTTCTGAGGCTGCCTACACTGGTAAACCTTGCCTAGAAACTCTGGGACATTTTCAGCAGTGCAGAGAATGGAGACAAGAGAATATTTTTTTGTTTGGTTTTTAGAGCTAGGTGGCAAATAACCAGCACAATTCTTAACCACTATTACAGCAGAAGTAGTGAGAAAGCATGCCAATTTGATTCACATTTCTTGATAAAACACAATGAAGTGATGTCTAAAATCTATTATTTCATTGATCAAGAAAGAAAAAGGAGACTGGAGGTGTGGCTAAATGAACTGCTTTACAAGGGTCAAGCCCTGAGTTCAAATCCCAGCCCTACAGAACAAAAAAGAAATAAAGAAACAAAGAAAGGTTCTTTCTCTTGTGAGCTTTATATTTAAGTGAAGGCAAAGAAAAAAGGAAAACATGCAAAATAAATTCAGAATCCAATATACAATGAAATAAAGGCAAAAAAGTGCTGTAAAGAAAACAGAGCAAGGCAGTAAAAGCTAGACAAAGGAGTGGGTGTGAGAGATTTTAGATTATGCATCTAGGAAAAGACATGAGCTTTCGGCTAAACTCTGGAGTGAGAACAAGATATCCATGTATCAGCTTAATGACAAAGCACCAGGAGCTACCCCACAGATTCAAGAGCAAGAAAAAACCAACTACTGTCACCACTGCTATTTTTAATACTAGTGGGAAATATTCGTTAGTGCAGTTAGGAAAAAAAAGAGGGTTCTAAGAGAAAGGAGTAAGAAATATGATTATTTTCAGTGATGCTTACTTGAAAAATAAAAGGAAAACTATTGAAAGAGAATTAAATGAAAATAGCTAACTACAAACTTAATTTAAAAAAATAAAATAGCATTGTAATATAACAAAGGAGAAAGAGATTTAATTTACTCTGGCAATAATATTACTAAGACCTGATAGGGTCTATGGAAACATGTTTAAAGCTTTTCTGTGAGATACAGAAAACTGTGTAAGCTGAACATGAATATTATTGATAGAAAAAATATTTTAAGTAGTTTCAAAGTACTCAATATATCCAATGTAATTCCAATAATATATCAGCAAGATTTTTAATGGGAATTTTATAGAACAATACCTATAATATTCATCTAAAGAAAAATGTACAAACTATTAGGAAAATTATGTTTAAAAAGGTTACTGGAAGATACCTTAAACACATACAAAACATAATATTTTATGTAAGAGAGATATTAATGCTACATGAGATGTATGAATTGTACAACTAGTAAACAATATAATAGATTGTAATAGGCAGTGCAGAAAAGACTGAAAATAGAAATATAGATTCAGATGTAATAAAGTTAACATTTCAAATTGCTGTGGAAATATTCAATGCAGGGTAAACCTGGCCAGCAAATTGAAAGTTACACATCTCTACCTCAATTTTTCTTTTCTTTTTTTTTTAATTTTATTATTCATATGTGCATACAAGGCTTGGGTCATTTCTCCCTCCTGCCCCCACCCCCTCCCTTACCACCCACCCCGTCCCCCCCTCTCCCCCCCGCCCCCTCAATACCCAGCAGAAACTATTTTGCCCTTATTTCTAATTTTGTTGTAGAGAGAGTATAAGCAAAAATGGGAAGGAACAAGGGTTTTTGCTGGTTGAGATAAGGTTTTTCTTGTTAGAAGAAATTCTAGATGAATCAAGCATTTAACTGTTGAATATTTAAATGAAAATGAAAATGAAATGAAATCATGGGTACATTTATTTATGAGCTTGGATCATAATTTTCTTTGCTGTGAAAAAATATCTGATATAGACAAATGGCATAAACAAATGAAAACAAGGAAACTTTGTTTTGGAGCCCAGTTTCAGAGCTTCTGGTACATCATTGGCTGGCTCCATTGTGTCTGGGCAGGCTTGAGACATGGCTGACAGTGTGGAGGAGCAAAGTGGCTCATACAATGGCAGCAGGAAGGGAGGGGAGGAGAGGGGGAAGGCAGGGCACAAGACAAAGGAGAGGAGTGGAGAGGGGAGGGGGGGGAAGTCATCCAGGAAAAGATATGTGCCAAGGACATGGCTCTAACACCTAGTTTCTCCCACTATGCCCCACCTCCAAAAACTGCCATCAAATTGTGAATTCATCAGTGGATTAATCCATTGATTAGGTTACAGTACTTCTTGATCCAATTATTTCTCACTGACTGCATCCACTAGCTGGGAACCAAGGCTTCATCACAGGAAACTTTGGGTGTGGGTACGTCTGTCTAAACCATAACCCAGAAGGAAGGAAATCCTAAGTCAAATTTAAACCTGAAAGCTAACTAGTAAAGATATATTATTTGTACTACATAGAATCTAAATAAAAATTTTAAATCTCAAATTCAACATACCAAAAATTGATTGCTGTGTGGTAATTCCAGTACTGGGGAAAGCTCACGAGTTGGAGGCCAGTCTGGGCTACATAAAGAAAGCCTGCCTCAACCCCACCTCTCAAAAATTGTTTTAAAAATGGGTAAAAATTGCAATGCATGGAAAGAGTGAGATGTTCTCACAAACAGTACCTACAAATGTGAAAGAGGAATAGGAACAACACTATAAAAAACTGTAGCAGGATATAGCCAGGCAGTTCCTAGAAGAAGAACTGGATGTAGCTAGAGAAATCTATGGTTCACTGCACCATTTACTCACACTAGAGTGCCTGGCACATAGCAGGTGATCAACAAATAGTTGTCGAATAAGTTACACTAACCCCACAAGGCCCGCCTCTTGTTGGTCAGGCCCGGGAGGCACAGCTCCACCCCAGCCTACCTGGAGTTGGACCAGGCCCCGCCTTCCTCCCCTGCCCAGTGGCTGAGCCTGGCGTCCCCACCCTGCGCCCTGGGCGAGGCCCCCTCCTCGGCTGCGCCTCTGAGCGCGCGCCGCCCGTTTCTAGCCAGTTGGCACAGCTAACGAGTCATCCACCGTCACGAGGCCCTTCCCTGGGCTCCACCGTGCTGAGGGCTGGGGTCACAGAGGCGGAGGAGAGGGCACCCCTTCGTGGTTCTCGAAGTCGGGGACCAGGGTGGGGTCTGCGGAGAGCCTGGTGTCCTCCAGACCAAGTTTCCAGGTCCAGGGATGCCCCGAAACCTGCATCGCTGCTGCTGGGGAAACCCTTGGGTTTCCTGTTAATGTGGTGTCTGGTCAGTGAGAGAGGGGTGGGAGGGAGCAAACGTGGTGTTCTGTCTCCAATTACACTTCTGGTAATCAGAGTGCCCCTTCCAACCCTAGCGCCCACCCACCGGGTCTCCTTATCCCTTCCCCTTCCTGTTGCTGGAGTCTCACTCAAACCGACCTCACTTTTTCCTCATCTGGTAAATGGGAACCAACCAGTTCAAGGTCCCAGGAGAACCAGTTGTCCTGAGCGAAGCCCTCCCCACTAGGCTCGGAGGACACAGATAAATAATAGCCAGACGTCCTTGAACTGAGTGGTTTGGGGTTCAGCAGAGGAGAAAGTCGGGAAAAGAAATAGAGGAGAGAGGTAATCAGAGATGGAATGGGAAGATACTTCAGGCAGATGCGTGTCCCAAGGAGGCATAGGAGGAGCTTGGATGGTCTGGGAAGTGTGAAGTGAAATGGGAAGGGTGAGAAAGCACTGACCAGGGAACAGACTGCTAACTGCTAGTGGGGTGGGATCATTTGGGGAGGCAGTTTGGGCAGCTTCATGGAGCCAGACCAGGCCCACCTGAGACAAAGTCAGACTCAGATTCTTGTCTGTCAGTGAGAAAAACTCTGCCACCATGTCCCCATCACAAGGTGGCTACAGGGGTGGCTGTGCCTAGCTGGATCCTGCCCCAGCACCCCCAGGTCAGACCTCAGAGCAACTTGACTTGCTTTGACTGACATCTAATCCTGGGTCCCATTTGGTCAGTCAGCAAGCATACATTGAACTTCTAACTGGGTGTTGGATTCTGAGGTGAGTGGGACAAGAAGGACAGTGTTAGAGACCAGGGGAGGTGGGCAAGACTACCCCAGTGAGAGACAAGGTGTGGTGTGGGAGCAGTGGCTGGAGGCCAGAGTGTGGAGAGGTGGAATCCCTGATCTTGGCCGAATGGCCATAGTAGGGAAAGTGAGGTCACCTTGAGATGCCAGCTGAGGAGACTGGTGGGTGGGCTTGAGACCTCCTGTGTCTGAGCATGTCCTGGGAAGGACACATAGCTAATGGCAGTCCCTCCGAGCCATGACGGTGGACATGGGCGGTGACATTAATTTATTTTTTGCGTGCTGGTCCATGTTAAGTAAGTACTGTACCACTGAGCACACCCCTAGACATGGTTTTCTTGAGACAGAGTCTCACTATGTAGCTCAGGCTAGCCTCAAACTCAGGAGCTTCCTGCCTCAAACTCATGATCCTCTTGCCTCTGTATCCTGAGTGCTGGGTTTTGGAGCTATCAATTGAGAGAGCTCTTTGAGGGCAAAGTAATGGGCAGCATCCACCCTGAGGGCTTGAGCCACAAATATGACCTCGATGTCTCTCCCAACAGCTCCTCCACCATGGCTTCTTTTACCTTCAGTGGAGATGTGGAAGATGACAAGAACACAGGTGCTACCCTGCATCATGGGGAGGTGTGGATGGAGGAGGGGGAAGAAAAGTGGGAAGTTGAGGCACCAACCTCCAGTCCACACCACAGGCCTTGCATGGGCTGTCATTAATCTACAAAGTCTATTACCAACTGGTAGACTCAAGATCTGAAAATGGAGCTGTTTAGCTCAGGCATATGGCTTCAAATGCCTGGGAACCCATTGCTAGGCCTCAGTTTACTCAGTGTGTAAAATAAATGGAGATTAGTGGGTCTCCCAATGCCTGTTCTCAGAGTTGAGGTGGCCCAGGGGGAGGAAGAGGGGCCGCTCTTGGAATCCACGTGTGCCAGAACCTACTAAGCACAGTGTAGGGACCATGTTAGGCCCCAGCATTGCCCTTTCCCTCTCCCATTTGTTCATGAGCTCCCCATCATCTCCCACAGTAAGCTGGGCATCCCTAGCACCTGTGTTCCCTAGGGGCCCATCTGTCATCTTCAGAGGCATTGTTAGGGTGTTTGTCTTCAGCTGCACTCCAGCTGTGCCTGACTCCTCTCTTTGCAGCATGCACCTGGGAAGTGAAGGCCAACAACTATGTCTTCCAAAAGAAATTTAAGAAGGGCTTCCTGTGCTGGCGGAAGAAGAAGTACAAGGTAGGCGGTCCAACCACCTCCAGGACAAAACTGGTCCCTGGGACCATGCCCCTTCCCTGCCCAGCAGAGCATCCCTACTCCCCTTGGTGCTGCCAAGAGCTATTCTTGGGAGGGAGTTTATTATTTATGCTCCCTCAGTTCTGCCTGTTACTGGTGTTTGCTTGACATTTTAATTGTAATCATGAGGACAAGAGTGCCCTTTCTTACCAAATCATGCCTTTGGTCTCTTTCACCCCATCTGGTGTGCATTAAAGTAAGTTGATACACAACCTTGACAGTGCAGCTCTCCATCAGGATTCTTTCCAAAATCCCCTGGATGTCTAACTTTGGGAAGTATTGGCATCACAGCTCAATGACTGTACTCCATAGAAGCTCAATTAATGCTGACTCAAGGCTTTACATCCAGTAGACACTTAATGCTGGCCTGAGACCTTGCCCTTGGCAGGTTCTTAGTAAATGCTGGCTTGAAGCCTTGCATTTAACAGATACTCAATGCTGTCTAGAGGCCTTGCATTCAGTCAGTGCTTAGTAAATGCTGGCTAGAGGCCTTGCATTCAGCCAGTGCTCAGCAAATTTTGGCCAGAGGCCTTGCATTCATTGGGCTCTCAATAAATTCTGGCTGGAGGCCTTGCATTCAACAGGTTCTCGGTAAATGCTGGCCTAGGGCTTTGCGTTTATCAGGTGCTAAGTAAATGCTAGCTGGAGGTCTTCACCTGGTCTTCACCAGGTGCTCAGTAAACACTTGGCTTAGTGGATGCTGCATTAATGTCTATGTGGTGAGGCTGGGACAGAGTGGGTTGGCCACAGGCTCCCTGGGCCTGGGCAACACCACATTCCATCAGTGGGAGACTCTCCTTCCAGAGCAATGCCATCCACACGGCCAAGTACAACATCTTCTCCTTCCTGCCACTGAACCTGTATGAGCAGTTCCACCGCATGTCCAACCTCTACTTCCTTCTCATCGTTATCTTGCAGGTGGGCAGAGTTCTGGGTCATCTCTCCTGGCTGCTATCCTCTGCAGATGGAGTGATACACTTGTGTGCTTGTCTGTATGATGAGCCGGTGAATGTCCGACTCCCCCCCATACCCATTGTTAGGTGGCCCTTGGCTTATAGGAGGTGCTCAGTATATGTTGAGTGATGAAGGTGGCAGGGCTGGGGATCAGAGGTTGCAGCTCCTCTCTAGGTGGGACAGTATCAGCCAGATGATACCCTTGGGTCCTGTTCACCTGACCACTCAGACTGGGAGCAGACGTCCTGATGGGTCCTGAGGACCTGCTGGAACATTTCTTGTCACCTGGACAATTGGGGCCAGTCTGGGGCAGATGTCAGGCCATGACCCTCTCACCTGTGGCACTATTTCCAGAGTATGCCATGTACTCAGCATCTCATTTCTGCTCTGGGTAAACTGAGCAATCTCATGAATAAAAGCAAGGAGCTTTTATGGATTGAGAAGCTCTTATATGTAGGTACTAGGCTGGGCACCAGGTACAGGGAACCAGCAGTGACTCTGACCTCACTCTTCAGGAGACTCACTTTAGAGGGAGTGATGCTGTAACTCAGACCTAAAGAATGGCTGGAGAAACAGGGTGAGAGGGAGGGGGACAGTCTGTGAAGGACACAGGTGGGGCTAGGAAGAGTCATGAGTGGCAGGATGGCATGAGGCAGCTAGTGTGACTTGCCCATCCTACAGGCCATCCCTGAAATCTCCACACTGCCCTGGTTCACCCTCTTCGCTCCTCTGGTCTGCCTGGTCATCATCCGGGCCTCTCGAGACCTGGTGGATGATATTGTAAGTAGTACAGGGCAGCATTGGCCTGGGGAGGGGAAATCAGGGTGGATCCCCAAAGCCATATTCCCAGCATGGGGGAAAAGAGAATGGGCTTTGTGGGTCCTAAAGTGGCCTTGGACCTGAGAATGTTGGCCCTCATGACTGTGGTGGACTCTGTTGTTCTTGTCCTGCAGCCATAGCAGTCAGGGGCCCTCTGACCCTGTCAACTGCATGGTTTTGGTGATCATTGAGCTAACAGCCACTCTAAGGTGGTGGGTGGGGCTTTCCTTATCTCTTTCTCAGCAATTGGCCTGGAGTCCTCACCCCCGGGATCCCTGGACAGTGTTGGGTGGTGCCAGCTGGCTGGCAGGGACACCCCATTGCAAGCAGAGGTGGTGATCTGCAGCTAGGCAGGGTGGGGACAGTATGGGGGAGGAGGAAAAGGGCCAATTCTGAACCCACCCTACTGGCCCAGGGGCGGCATAGAAGTGACCGTGCCATCAACAACAGGCCTTGCCAGATCCTGAGGGGGAAGAGGTGAGGCTGGGGGCGGCCATGGAGAGACATTCCAGAGGCTCTAGTTGGGGGTGGCCACAGAGAGCAGGGTGCCAGAAGGATAGTGGTACCTTCTGTGCCCCTGACCATTACCCACGCCTGCATTTATTAGGCATCTGATCTCTGTCAGGCCTATGGTCAACAGTGAGATGAGGACAAAGAGGCTGAGGATCCCAACCATGGACTCTTGAAATACATAGAGTTCAACCAAAGGGGTGGGTGAGGAAAGACTTAAAAGAACTTGAATAGTAAACCAAAGATCCTGTGGAGGAAGGAGGAGGTCAGGGAAAACTTCTTGGGGGAGGCAGCTGTTAAGTTGAGCTGGGCCTTGTGGGAGGGCTAAGTGGCAGCAAAGGCTGGGAAGTAGGAACTCCAGGCCCATGCCACTTCTGCCCTCTGCTTGTCCACCACGGGATTGGGCTGTGGGGAGCACCCAGGACCCTCTTACTCCTCCCCTCCTGCAGCTTCACGTGGAGGAAGTGGAAGAACCTGTGTGTGGGAGATGTGGTGTGTCTCAGAAAGGACAGCATCGTCCCAGTGAGCTGGTGTCATCCCCTGTAAATGCCCCTGGGTGAGAACCCCCCCATCTCCATCCCCCTATAATCCTGTCACCTCCTTGTCCCATCCCAGGCCGACTTGCTCTTGCTGGCCAGCACAGAGCCTAGCAGTTTATGCTATGTGGAGACTGCTGACATTGATGGGTAAGAAGAAGCTGCAGTACCCATGGTGTCTGGGGGGATTGGGCCTGAGCCCTGGAGAAGCCCCAAAAGAGCCACCAGAGAGGTGACTGGACCAGCCAGTTCAGCTATCCAGTCATAAAGGTTTATGGGAACACAGCAGGCTCTTCCAGTCAGCAGGGAAATAAGCTAAACCAGAGCAGAATAACTGCAGGACCTACTGTGTGCCCAGCAAGAAGGTATAGACACCCTGACTTTGGCCCTTTGATAAATGTGTTGTGTGAAGTCTAGCAAGGCCCTTTCCCTCTTTGGGCCTCAGCCTTCCAACTGACATTGGGTGCACAGTAGGAGCTCAGCAAAATGTTCAGAGGGCCTCTGGGAAGAGGCATGCCTCTTTACCTAACCGGATCATTTATCATCATCTTGTCATCACCTTCTGCTCCTTCTTGCCCCCTCTTGTTACCAGGGAGACCAATTTGAAGTTCAGACAGGCCCTGACAGTCACCCACCACGAACTGACCAGTATAAGGAGGATAGCAGCCTTCCATGGTGAGCGAGAAACTGAAGTCCTATGTGCTTATCTGGGCCTCTATTTGCCCCTTATATGGTGGGTGTGAAGATTTCTCACCTTCAATAGGCTTTGATGATGCTCCTGGAGTGGTGAGGGGTGTTGGGCAGGCTCCAGCACCTATCCATACAGCCAGTTTTCACTAAATTATTCCCCTATCAAGAGTATTCACTGGCTTTTAGGGTCTAGGTACTTCTAATAGACTGACTTGTTCCAGGACCACTTCATATACCCTCCAATCAGTGTTAAAGTGGAATATTTATATATCTTTCTATGACTGCAAAATGTGCTGCAATGTTTCATTAGGTGTTGCACTTTATTTTTTAAACATGACATCAGCAACACAAAAAACATTTTTCATTGCTTTATGGAATAGGCAGCCAATTTGCTGGGGCTGACCTTCAGCTGATGGGAAAGGCTTACAGGAAGAGGCCACAATCCTCATCTCACACTTGTGCAGTTTCCTATTTTCTACCCTGAAACATTACACATGTGTGGTGTAGATATAGTTACTGTATGGATACAGCTTTATTTTTTTTCCTATTTCATTGCAAAGGCAAGTTGCTGTCAGTGGTTCTGTTACAGTCTTTCTCTCCAACCACAGCCAAGTCTTGGTTTCTCCTGTCCTTGAAATCTGGGATAAGGTTTAGGTGCAGTGGTTCATGCTTGTAAATTCCAGCACTCTGTATCACAAATCCAATAAGCCTGAGCTACAAAGCAAGACTCTAAGAGAGAGGGTAGAGGAGAGAAAAAAGGGAGGGGACTGGAGGGGAGAGGAGAGGTAAGGAGAGGAGAAGAGAGGATATGTAGAGGAGAGTGTATACAGAGGAAAGGAGATGGAGAGGGAGGAGGAAAAGGAGGAGGAGAGGAGAAGGAAGGAGGGAAGGACGGAAGGAAGGAAGGAAGGAAGGAAGGAGAAAGGAAGGAAGGAGAAAAGAAAGAAATTTGAAGAAAGGCCAGCTCTGGTAGAAGGTGGCTATACCTGTCCTCTCCTTTAACTGTCCTAATATCCCAGAACTCTGCCAATGTTGCCTACCCCCACTTGGTCCCATTGGGGGGATGGTCTTAGAAAAGAGGCAGTAACTCCAAATGCATCACTTTTCTCCACATCCCAGAGACTCCCACTTACTGGGCCCAGGGACTGTCTCTAGGCTATGGCATGTCAGCTCCCCAACATTCCCCCAGGGTGTGGGATATTGAGGTTCAGAGAGGTAGTGTCTCTGACCCCACTGACTCATGTATCCCACCCTAAACAATTCCTATTTCTTCCTTCAGGACTGAGTCAGGTTCTTACTTGCTGCAATGGAATGGGGCAGGCAGGTGAAGACTATTCAAGTGTCCTATGGCCCTGATCCTTCTCCCTTCCAGGGTCACAGCCCACATATCATAGTTATTTGAACCTTCACACAGCCCTGGGCCTGTGTATGCACCTGGATCTCATTTTCTCATCTAGGCTTTCAGGGTGACAATAAATGGCATGATGGCAGATGGGCCTGGCACCCAGTGGGAATAGGGTGCTGGTTGAGGCTGTCTTGAGGGGGCATCACTTCTCACCTTACTCCTCATTTATTTTCGGAGTACTTACTGTGTGTCAGGTGCCAGGTCAGACTCTGGGGTCACTGAAACTGAGAGGAGGCCAACAGACGCTAATGATGAGTCACAGAAACATCCAGAAATATCCAGAAACATCCCAGGATCAGAGCACAAGGGACAGTGGGCAGTGTCGATCTGTCTGCAGGATCAGATGTGTGTGCAAAGGCCTGGGGACACCAAGTAGTGGAGGTGGGGTTGCCAGTGGAATATGTTTAGGGCATTTGGGGTCTATTAGGGTCATGAGCAGAAGGGGGCAGGAATGTTTCCAGTGCATCAATTAGGGAGGAGTGGCAGGGAGCCATGGGAGCAGGGCCTACACCCAGCGAGCTGCTGACTGCCAGGTGACTGCAGGAACAGTGATATGTGAGGAGCCCAATAGCCGGATGCACAACTTCGTGGGGAGCCTGGAGTGGAACAACAAAATATATCCCTTGGACATTGGCAACCTGCTCCTGCGCGGCTGCAAGGTCCGCAATGTGGATGCCTGTTATGGCCTTGTCATCTATGCTGGTACAGTAGCCCTAGGCCCTGAGTAGTCACTCTCTGGGTGGGATAGGTAAATGGGAGAACTCTGAAGTCATCAGTGAGACGTGCCAAAACCAGATACTACTGCCACAGACCTGTTGAGAGATGTGGACTCCTGTGGCTGATTTCTTTGGGTCTGAGGTTCTATATAAGTGGACATATTGAGTCAGTACTCTTGTTTTGGCTGTGAAAATGGGGGTGCTCTCACTCTCTTGGTCTTCCTCCTTTCTGGGGTCTAGACCACAAGATGGAAGGTTAGGTAGGTAGAAAAGTAGATGGATGGGTGGATAGATGGATGGATGGAGGGAGGGCGGGAAGGGCGGAGGGAGGGAGAGAGGGAAGGAGGGGAGGGATGGATGGATGCAAACCCTGCAGGTGTTGACACAAAGATCATGATGAACTGTGGCAAGATCCATTTGAAGAGGACCAAGATTGACCTCCTCATGAATAAACTGGTAGTCGTGGTGAGCTGCTAACCAGTGACCTTGTATGGGTTGTGGGGAATTAAGGAGGTGCAGAGAAAGGGTCCTGCTCTTTCCCTGACAGAAACCCAGGCTCTTGTCTTCTTGGCCTGTTTTCTTCCTCAGAAAAATGTTCCATCTGATCCTATGGACAGGTCTTTAGGCCAGATAATCTGTTCAAATAATTTTTAAAAATTATTTTGTGCTGGGGATGTAGTACAGTGGTGGAACACTTGCCTAGTATGTGTGAGGCTCTGGGTCCATTCCTAGCTCCACAAAATTTTTCTTAATAAAATTAATTTTCATCCTGATGTTTTTCAAATTTATAAAAAAAAAATGAAATGCCCTACCTTCCCACTAAAACTGAACACTCCATTAAGTATTTGCACAATCGTATTCATTTTTATATGTCACATAATAAAAATTTCAGTCACAGAAGCCTGGAAAAAAGACCCTGGAAGCTTCCCTCCCTTGGCCCCCTTTCTTCCTATCCTTTCTTCTCACTGCTGGGGACTCTCCAATCTGCAGCCTTGGCTTTTTGCATGGAGCATGTTGCCATTGATGAATCCCTGGGCTTCTCAGGGCCCTCAAGTTCCTCCCATACTTCCCCATCTCCTGTCCACCTTACAGATCTTCCTGTCTTTGGTGCTCATCTCCTTGGCCTTGACCCTGGGCTTCCGTGTAATGATCAAAGACTTCAAGCTGAAGCACTATTATGTGTCCGCCAAGTACCCGAGGACTGTGACCATGGAGTCCTTCTTCATCTTCTGGGGCTTCCTCATCCTGCTCAGCACCATGGTGCCCATGGCCATGTTTATTTTGTGGGTCCTGCACCCCACCCGGCTGTGCCCATGCCTAGGGTGGGGCAAAGGGAGGCTCCTTGAGGCAGTGGTCAGGGCCGGGACAGTCACAGGTGTGGCTGTCATGCATTTGCAGAGCTGAGTTCATCTACCTGGGCAATAGCCTGTTCATCAGCTGGGACACGGAGATGTACTACGAGCCTCAGGACACACAGGCGAAGGCCCGTAGCACCAGCCTCAATGACCAGCTGGGTCAGGTGCAATACATCTTCTCAGACAAGACGGGCACACTCACGCAGAATGTCATGAACTTTAACAAGTGCTGCATCAACGGCAATGTCTACGGTGGGCCTGCCCCCTCTGCTACCTGTGTTCCTACCCAAGGGGGCGGGGCCTGGGTTCTACCAAATATGCCAACACCTGAGTAAGAGGCAGGGTGTCCAAGGACCAGGGCCACCGGTGTCCCCACACCTAACCCTTCTCCCTAATTGGAATCATGTATCACATGGCTTGTGATATCCAGTGGCCCCTTGGCAGGAGGTGGGAGATACTAAGCTTGGGGACAGGATTGTGGAACCTTGAGTGTTGGCTCCCAGGGAGGTGAGTCCTGAAGCAGTCTTTTCCCCAGGTCCAGATAACAAGGATGGGACACCCTATCAGGTGAGTCGCTCTGGCCTCACACCACTGGATGGTGGAGGATGGGCAAGGACCCACCCAGAGACAGCCACTCCTGTCCCCCACGCTGCTCCCAGGAGAACCCCTACCGGTGGAACAAATTTGCAGATGGAAAGCTCCTTTTCTACAACAAGCAGCTCTTACACATTGTACGGCACAGGCAGGACAAGGTGGTACAAGAGTTCTGGCGCGTGCTTGCCATCTGCCACACGGTGATGGTCCAGGAGAAAGACAGTGAGTGTGTGTCTGCCCAGCTCTGGCTCTCCACATTGGAGGGGGTCTCTTCCCAGGGTGCTGCAATGGTCCTCTGGCCCCAGGATTGCCTAGCCTAGCCTCCCAGCTTGGAGGGTGCTCAGTTATGTCCCAAGCCCCTCTTCAAGTCTGTGCAGGCTTGCATTAAGGGAAGCTTGAGGGGAGGGACAACTTTGACAAATGCTCACTGCTTCTCCTTTTTCTCACCCATCCCCTCCCTCTCTAGACCTGCCATCATACCAGGCGGCTTCCCCAGATGAGGAGGCACTAGTCACTGCAGCCCGGAACTTTGGCTATGTGTTCAGGTCACGCACCCAAGACACCATCACTGTGGTGGAGCTGGGGGAGGAACGAGTCTACCAGGTCCTGGCCATGATGGACTTCAACAGCACGCGCAAGCGGATGTCTGTGCTGGGTGAGTTCCAACCCCCGCCCAACCCAGCATGGGAGCAGGTGGGGGGGGCACGTGGAGGGATGCTGGTTTGCTTCTCCACAGTACGAAACCCAGAGGGCTCCATCTGCCTCTACACCAAGGGTGCAGACACGGTTGTCCTGGAGCGCTTGCGCAAGAGGGGTGAAACAGAGATAACCACAGAGGAAATCTTGGCTGTAAGTGCTGCAGGGGGCCTGGGGAGTTTTGTGTGTGTGTGTGTGTGTGTGTGTGTGTGTGTGTGTGTGTGTACACATGTGTGTACAAGGACAGAGGGAAGAGGAAAATGGCCGCAGGCCCTTGAGGCAGCCATGTACAGTTGGATAGGTTGTGCATTTCACAAAGCACTTCCTCCCTCCGTCCTCCCACCCATACACAGAGACTGTAAGGGGAGGCTGGCTCCAAAGCAAACCTGCCCAGAGAGGGTATCTTTCTCAAGTTCACATGAAGACACACCCTACGGGTAGATTGGGTTTTGGCTCCTGGAACCTAGCCGGGCCTGGGTTCCAGGACAGGATTTGAGGATAGACCTAGCCTTCCCTGCTCAGTCCTTTCCTTCCCATGGACGAGGCCAAGACTCCTCAGCTCAGCATTCGAGGCTGACTCTTTTCTGTCTCTTACTGGCCCTTCTCCCTTGGCCTCTCTTTGACCCTTTCAGGACCTTAATTTCTGGCTTTCCATCTCCTTGCATGTATTGAGGTGATGCCTTGGGTCTTGGTACATGCTTCTCCCAGTGCCTTTGTCATTTGAAATTTTTCATTCTCAAGGCTCAGTCACAAGACCCCCACCTTTAGCAGGCCTTTCTTGCTCTGTCCCCCAAAATGGATTCCTTACCATCCCTAGATTTCTTCCTTCTGACCCAGCCCTGACTTTACAGGGATAGAGGTGATTCCATCCAGCCTGGGGGCTCCCCAACTGCTTGCTGATCTGCTGGGAGCAGGGTGGGAGCAGGAGCAAGTTTCTCTTTGAACAAAGATCCAGAGCCCAGGAGCTTAGCAAGATGGATCAACCACTCCATGTAGCAGTTGGGTAAAATGAGGCTGAGGGAAGATTACAGACCTCTGTGCGACTCCTGACACTCAGGGAGCCCTGCTATGCCATACAAGTCTGACCTCTTGCCCTCGCTCATTAACACCTGGGCCCTGGCACAGGTGTGGGGTGAGGTAAGGTCCCCTTTGTGGGGTTCTACTGGCTCTCTTGCTGTCCTTAGGATGAGTGTACTTTGGACTTGCCTGAGGGAGCCTGAGACACAGAGCCCCCAAAGGACCTTTGGTATTCCCTGAGGCAGAGGGGTCAGAAAGATGGGACTGGGAAGGGAGAGTCCTTACCAGGGAGGGGCCAGGCAGGCTGCACAGAGGGTCTAGGGGAAGTCAGAGTCTGCCATGAGAAGTGAAGCATAGGAAAGTGTTGTCTGTGGAAAGTATGGTCCATGTAAAAGTCTGGAGAAAAGGGGAAGACAGAGCTGGTGTGGAGGGGAGGCTGGGCAGTGACAGTTCTGGCTACAACAGGCCTTTGCAGAGCAGACCTTGCGGACACTGTGCCTGGCCTACAAGGAGGTAGCTGAGGATGCCTATGAGGAGTGGGAGTCCCAGCACCATGAGGCCTGCCTCTTGCTACAGAATAGGGCCAAGGCCCTGCATCAGGTGTACAACAACATGGAGCAGAACCTTGAGGTTGGCGGACATGTGCAGGATGGTGGTTGGGCCCAGAGATCTGATACCAGGGAGCTTGGTCTCCACTGGAGCTTCATCTTGAACCACCACACCACCTCTAGCTACTAGGAGTCACAGCCATTGAGGACAAACTCCAGGATGGCGTTCCAGACACCATCAAGTGTCTCAAGAAAGCAAACATCAAAGTGTGGGTGCTCACAGGGGACAAGCAAGGTGGGTCCCCCAGCTTCTCCTTGCCCCCAGTACTTGTCTGAAGTCCAGCCATCTGCCTATCCTATTTCAATGTGAAGCGTTGCCCTCCACACTGTCTCTGGGAAAGAGACAGGAACAACTGAAATTTCCTCAGTGACAATCAAGGTGCCTCTGATAGACCATGAGCTCTGCTAAGTGCTCAGTTAGAGTTTTGTCATTTCAGTAACACTGCTACCCCAACATGGGTAATGGGCATAGCAGGGCTCAGGAGTGCTCATGAGACTGGCCCGGATGTTTTTCAGCCATATAGCAACCCTAGTGTTCTCCACCACCAAACAAGTCCCCACCTTTGGATTCTTCAGGAATCAGAGAATGTGTGTGACATATGCCTAAGTTATTAGGGGCTGCATTAGAACTTTTATGGGCCTCTTCCTGCACACACACACACCACACACACACACACACACACACACAAACACACTCTCACAAATATTAAGAATGACATTTCACTGCTGTATAAAGGCATATATGAAGGCTGAATTGTATTTGCATTTTTTACCTTCTGATTTAAAAAATATTAAGACATTTTGGGGGTTTCTAAAAGCATGGTGGGCCCCAGGCATGAAATGCTTGATGGTCCAAGCCTCAAACTTGCATCCTCTGGAGTAGCTCAGCCTTCACAGGTCAACAGCCCACTCCCTTGCTCAGATTTTTCAGCCAAAGCCTCAGGGCTATCCCTCACTGGTTGGCCTGAGTTGATATGCCCTGCTCTTAACCAGTTACCATAGCCAGGGTGCAGAGCATGCTGCTGCAATTAGCCAGGCCAGGGTCTAGCTGGCAGGGTGACCACAATTAGCAGGTCAGTCTGGAGCGGCGCTGAGAAGGGCTGATTTGCAGAAACGGCGATAAACATTGGATTTGCTTGCCAGCTGCTGACAGAGAACATGCTCATTCTGGAAGAGAAGGAGATCAAGTAAGCAGGCAGTGGGTGGTGGGCAAAGACCTGGGGTGCCCATGACCCAGACATCCCCCTTACCCTCTGCATCTACCTTGGATCAACCTTGACTCTCGGAGGCCTTTGCCACTCCAAAGGCAGAGGCATGGGGGGAGGGGAGGTGGGAAGTGCAGGCTCACCCTTGCCATCCACAGCCGTATCTTGGAGATCTACTGGGAGAACAGCAACCTGCAGAACTCAAGCGACAACCTCAAGTTCCTGTCACAGGTCAACATGGCTATGGTCATTAATGGAGAATTCCTGGTCAGTGTCATCTCAGGGTGGACAGCAGGGTCCCTGGTGTGGAGAAGGGTGCCTCAGACAAGCAGTAGCAGGCTGGCAGTGGGGAGGCTACTGGGATCTCACAAGGAATCTCCAAGACACTAAACCCAAAGGGACTGGAGGGAGAGACGTAGTGGAGTTCAGCCAGGGAGTTACACAAGAGTCCCAGGGAGGAGGCACTAGCTGTGGACAGTTGAAGAAGATGCAGGCTGAATAACACTGCCCTTCCCACCATCCAGGATCAGCTGCTGCTGTCTTTGCACAATGAGCCCCGTGCCCTGGTCAGAAATGCAGTGGCAGATGAGGCTTGGCATGAGCCAGGCCCAGTGAGGAGGGACTTCCTCCAGGCCAGGCGAATCTCCCAGTTCTTTCGGAATTTTGGGGCCCCAGTGGCCTCCATGCAATCCAAGACCTCGAACACCCATGAGAGTCCGGAGGTGTGGCGGGAACATGCCTTCGCAGACCTGGCCTCCAGGTGCCAGGCAGTCATCTGCTGCAGGGTGACACCCAAGCAGAAAGCTCTGATCGTGGCACTGGTCAAGAAATACCACAAAGTGGTGACCCTGGCCATTGGGGATGGAGCCAATGATGTCAACATGATCAAGAGTGGGTGGCTGCAGGCAGCAGGGGTGGGGTGTGGGACTCTGCCAGCAGCTGACCAGGGTGACTGGGGGCCAACTGACTGTGTGTGCCCTGCAGCTGCGGACATCGGTGTGGGGCTGACAGGTCAGGAGGGCATGCAGGCGGTGCAGAATAGTGACTACGTGCTGGCCCAGTTCCGCTTCCTGCAGCGGCTGCTGCTGGTTCATGGACGCTGGTCCTACATGCGTGTCTGCAAATTCTTGCGCTTCTTCTTCTATAAGACAGTGGCCTGCATGATGGGCCAGATCTGGTTCTCCTTCTACAGTGGCTTCACTGCCCAGGTGTGTGCTAGGTGGGAATAGGTTCCAGGGTGCCCGGTCCCTCTCATAGTTTCTAGAAGCTGCAGTGGGTACCCTAAAAACTGTACAGTCCAGTCTAGGTATGGTGGCTCAAGCTTATAACCCTAGCTACTTGGGAGGCAGAAATTGGGAAGAACATGGTTCAGTAAAAAGTTCAGAGGATCCCATCTTAATGGGGGCACAGTGGTGTGTGCTTGTCGTCCCCAGCTACGTGGGGGAAGCACAGCTGGGAGAATCGTGGTCCAGACTGGCCCAGGCATAAAGCAAGACCCTATCTCAAAAATAACCAACATAAAAAGGGCTAGAGATGTGGTTCAAGTGGTAGAGTGCCTGTGTAGCAAGCACAAGGCCCTGCGTTTGATCCCCAGTACTATCAAAAACCAAACAATAACAACAAATAAAACCATGGGGTTCAGCTGTGCATGGAGTTTCAAGTCTCTGAGCTAGAGGTAGAGGCTGAACCATTAGAAGTTTGAGGCCAGCTTAGACTACATAGTGTGACTCTATCTCAAGAAAAGGATTTTTTAAAATAGTCTTCGGTCCCCTCATTGTGAAAGGCCTGTCTGAGGTCACAAAGCAGTGCAACCTTGTGCAGAGCTTCATTCATAAACGTGTAAGGCATGGGATGTCTCCTGTCCTCTTCTATGTCCAACACTGTCAGACATCTGGTGCATTAGAGCTCTGAAGCAAGGGCTGAAGCCCCACATGTCTCCCTTATCCACATCTGAGAAGGTTAAGGAAAAAACTAGAGGTGTTCTTTGGGACCTTAGAGGAACCATAAGGTGGAGATTTGTTTGTGTATAGGGAAATTGTGCAGATTTTTGAGCGGTAATGAGCTCACTGTCGCTAATATGCAGGCATTTGAGAGAGAACTCTACAGTTGCAGTCTTCATAAATATGTACTGTTTAGATTAGCTTTTATTTGCTCTTTTTTTACTTGCTCTTTTTTTTTTGTTGTTCAAGGTCATGAGATTGAGTTCATGACCTTGGATTTGCTGGGCAAGTGTTTTACCACTTGAGCCACATGTTCAGTCCTGGAATTCTTTTAATTTCCTTTTTGAATTGTCATTGTCAGTTTACAGAAACTGTAAACTGGGGATTTACAGTTTGGGATTTGGGGCTTTGGACATCTTGTGTCCTGTAGGCTAATTCTGGGTGTATTTACTGGGCCCAGTAGTTGTCCCATGGGGCCCGCTTGCGGGGTTTAGATAGAGGACTGTGTCAGCTCCAAATAGACAAAGTCTTTCTTCTTGCTTCCAAATTTGGACGCCTTTTTTCCTTTTCTTGTGTAACTGCTTTGGCTAGGATTCCTAGCTCCATGTTGAACAGTGAAAGGGAAAAACGTTACTCTTCCCATTCTGGTGAGTTAGGATTCTTCTGCAGGGAGGACTATCCATTTTCTCCCATTTACCTCTTCAATTATTTCTCCAAATCAGGAGACATTTATTTTGTTCTCAATTGGTCACAGAGTAGTCCTTCTGTCCTTCACCTGCACTCCCTGGGCTTCTGGCTCTACAAAGTCACAGGGGCTCCATTTGCATTCCCCCTCCATCCCAGGGACCAGCCATCACTGAGGAATCCCCAGTTCCTTTCATTAGAGAATGAAAAGAACATTAGACACCAAAAGCCAAGCACCCCTGGGCCATTGTTACATTGTCAGATTACAGAATTAGAAAATGTTCACACATTGACCTGTGTGTGAATGTATTGTGTCTATTTCTTGACCTCACTGTCATCTATATCAGTGATAGATAGTATATAATTCTGTCCCCTAACTTGCTCAGGCCTTCCTAGTTCCTCAATGAGAACCTTCATTCTTGTTCCTTTCAGCTTTAATACCTATTTTTCCCATCCTAGAGTTCATGTGAAATGATTTGGGTTGAAACGTGTACATTTTTAGCTGGACTGGATACCAGAGTCAGAACATGATGTGATCTACCCATCCATAAGTTTTTCCCAGCTCTTTACCCATCAGGGAGCCCCTAAATCTAAGCTGTGATCCTAGGATGGTCTGGAAGCACATTCTCTCATGCCATGTCCACCTGAAGCTCTGCACCAAGTCCTCCAAGCCATCTAATTACACATGCACTCAGAAATAGCTTTTTCAAAGAATTAGACCATACATCTGTCCCCTGCTTTTTGTCTTCCAGCCCATATTGAGCCCCACTTAATGCAATACTGGATTTGGCCCCAGTCTTGATTGTAAGGCAGCCACCTAGCTCACTGGGGACCTTCCTCAGGTGCCCATCCAGTTTGGCAGAGCTGCTAGGAGATGATGCATTGGTCCCCTGGACTTTGGGCCTCTGAAAGTTGTCTTTGTTCCCCACAGCCCCTGTATGAAGGCTGGTTCCTGGCCCTCTTCAACCTATTATACTCTACTCTCCCAGTCCTTTACATTGGGCTCTTCGAGCAGGTGAGCAGGGGTTAAGGCCTAGCCTTCTCTTCCCTGGGTGGTTATGGGGTCCAGCACCTCTCTCCCTGCCCACTGTGAGTTTTCTGCTCCCACTAGAGCTGTGTCTCATGAAGGCCTTTGTAGGGGCCCCGTCTTGCCAGCCAAGTCCTCCTCTTTATGGGAGACATACACCCCAAGACCCAGGTCCTCTGTCCACCCATTGGAGATTAGAAGGGTGGTCTTCTGCAATTTTAGTCTACCTCCAGCACTGAGAGTCCCTATTTAAGTGGTCTGGAGTAGGGGAGTCTCATAGAATATTCTTGACCAAAGGGATGGAGGAACCAGATTTTACATTTCATTTCATGTTTAAAAAAATTCTTTTTGGTGGTGCTGGGGATGGAATCCAGGACCTCGAGCTTGCTAAAGCACATGTTATACCACTGGGATACACCTGAACCCTTAATTTCTGTTTTTTTTGCAGCACTGGAGATGGAACCAGTGCCTTGTCCATGCTAGGCAAGCACTCTACCTCTGAACTACATCACCAGCCCCTTTTTGTTTTCTTGTTTTGGTTTTATTTTGAGACAGCGTCTCGCTATGTAGCTCTGACTGGCCTCAAACTCACTGTCCTCCTGTCTCAGCCTCCCAAATGCTGAGACTATGGGCATGTGCTATGATATCCAGCATCCTTAAACTTTTAATTATTGTTTGGGATCCTTCAGGCCTTAGTCCCAGGACCCCTGTGGATGCCAAAGATGAGCACATGTTCAAACTGTTTCTATAAAACTGTATAGTATTTGCAGATAACCTGCTGCACAATCCTCCTGTAGAGTTTACATAATTTCTAGATGAATCATAATCCCTGATAGGATGTAAATGTTGTGTACATACTTGTTACATGGTATTATTTGGGGAACAATGAAAAAAATTTCTGCACATGTTTAAAACAGTTTTTTCCTAAAAATTTGGTTGGTTGACTCTGCATACACAGAACCTGTGAATATAGAGGTCTGGCTGCAATGTGAGATTCTGCAATTACCCATTCTTGAGAGCATAGTTCAGTAGTGTGCCCAGTGCATCCATGTGGTCACACAACTGAACTCCAGAATTGTTTGAATGCCACTTGAACTCAAATTGCTACACAATAAGAATAGCCAGACCCTGCCATATCCCAAGAGCCTGCCTCCTGCCCAGGATGTGAACGCGGAACAGAGCCTGGAGATGCCCAGCTTGTACGTGGCAGGCCAGAAAGATGAGCTCTTCAACTACTGTGTGTTCTTGCAAGCCATTGCCCATGGCATGGTCACTTCTCTGGTCAACTTCTTCATGACAGTGTGGGCCAGCCAAGATACAGCAGGGCCTGCCAGCCTCAGTGACTACCAGTCCTTTGCGGTCGTTGTGGCCTTGTCAGGCTTGTTGTCGGTCACTATAGAGGTAGGCAGGATAACCCCATCCTCCCCCCACCCGGTGCCATTCAAGGCTTTGTCCCCAGCTGACTTCTGCTTTGGGGGTCCCACCAGGTACTCTTCCTGCAACCTGGGGTTTGGTGTCTGGACCCAGACCCTCAACCCCAGCTGACCCTTCCCTCTCCAGGTCATCTTGGTCATCAAGTACTGGACTGTCCTATGTGTGGCAACCATTCTGCTCAGCTGTGGCTTCTATGCAGTCATGACATGTGTCACCCAGAGTTTTTGGCTCTACAGGATCTCCCCACCAACATTCCCATTTCTCTGTGAGCCCCATGAGGAGGTCATGACATGGGTGTCCCTAACACAGGAGAACTCTAGCAGCAAGCTGTGGCCTGAGTACAGTCATGCAGGTGGCAAGCTGATCACAACAGTCACCCAGCAAATTGTTCCAAAGAAGGGGCTACTTTTGGGAGGTGGTCTGGGAGCCTCTGTGGGGATGAGGGGAGGGGAAGTAGGCAAGAGCTCTGCCATGTCCCTCACCCTGTTCCCAGATGCCGACTACAATGTGCTGACCCAGTCCTCCCACCTGCTGTTGATCCTGCTGAACGTGTCCCTGAACACACTGCCCATGTTGGCCATCCGGGTCATTCATAAGGTCATCAAGCAGCTGCGTGTCAAGGTGAGGCAGGATTGAGGCCAGGGTCATTCTGCACCTTCCTGGTACCCTGTCAACCCCTCCTGGAGGGGTAGGCATGGAATGCTGGGGTTTCCCTAGGCTCTCGGGGCCAGACTCCCTGGGGGGAGGGGAACCACACAACCTTACTCTGTGGGCCTACCTGTTTTCACATACTAACACCATCGGATTCCCGCTTTGAGTTAGCTACCTTGAGTGGGTTTAGGCAAAAGGGAGGCACTTAGAAACAATACAAAAAGAAACAATACAATACAATAGATGCACATAGCATAGTCAGTCCATCTACACACTGGAACATCACTCAGCCATTAACAGGAACTCTAGGTTCTGACAGGTGCTACAGTGTGAATGGACTTTGAGGACATCCTGCTCAGTGAGAAAAACAGATGCAGAAGACCTCACAGTATATTATGCCTTTGATAGGAAATGTCCAGAACAGATGAATCCAGAGATAGGAAATAAATCTGTGGGTGCCATGAATGGCTGAGGAGGGGATATTAGTTAATCTTTAATAGAGACAGTTGTTTCAGTCCGGGGACATTAGAATGTCCTGGTAATGGATGGTGGTGATGGCTGCAATAATGCAGTTAATGCCACTTAACTGTGTGTTTCAGCAGAGCTAAGAAGATAATTTTTTACCTTATGCTTTAAATTTTTTAATTTTAATTTTTATTAGCATAAGTTAATTATACAAGGAAGTTTTATTTTGATATTTACAAACAAGTATATTCACCCCATCTATATTACTCCTCTAACTACCCTCCCTCCTCATTTTTAACAGTTCATGTACACACACACACACACACATATAATGTAATTCTATCCTTTGACTTTAAGTCTGTTTGTCTTTGTCAGTGAGTGCTTTCTATAGAAAGCAAATGGTTGGGTCCTGTTTTTTTTTTTAACCCAGTCACTTATTTTTTGACTGGAGAATGGAGACCATTAACATTTATGATATTATTTAAAGATATGTAGTAATATCTTTCCATTTGTTGTTTTTGTAATGTTTGGTTCTTTCCTAATCTTCACTTGCTTTTGACTCATCTGAGAGATTTGTTTATACCCATATTTTCCTTGTTGTATTTGTCTTCTCCTCTGTGTAGGATTCCCTTCAGTATCTTCTGCATTGCTGGCTTACTGGTTATGAATTTCTTAAGTTTTTGTTTACCATGGAAGAGTTGTTATTTCTCCTTCAATTATGGTGGATAGATTTGTTGGATACAGTAATCTACGTTGACAGTTATTTTCTTGAAATATATCATTCCAGGCCCCTCTTATTTTTAGTTTCTGTTGAGAAATCTGCTGCTATTCCAGTAAGTTTGCCTTTGTAGATGACTTGTTAGTCTTCTCTTACAGATTCCAATATTCATTACTTGTTCTGTACACTAATGTTTTAACTATAATATCTGAATAATGATAATGAGTGGTTCTTTTCTGGTCTTAGTCAGTTGAATGTGTTAATAGTCTCCTTTAGCTGTATGGCTGTCTCTTAAGATTTGGGAATTTTTTTTCCTTGTTACTGTTCTTATTATATTTTCTGTCTCTTTTCTCTTTCTTCTACAGCCATGATTCACAGGTTTGGTCTTTTAATAGTGTTCCAGCTGTCTTACATTCATATTTATTTTTTTAATCTGACAATTCTAGCACATATACTTTTTCTTCAAGCCCTGATATTGTCTTTAATTTTTGTTCACTTTACTAGAGGTGCTTTCCATTGAGGCTTTTTTTTCTCTTATTGAACTTTTCATTGCCAGAATTTCAGTTTGTTTCTTTTTCAGGATTTCTGTACTGAACTCCTCTCTCATATCCTACATTGTCTTCCTTATTTCATTAATTGCATATTTGTATTCTCTTTGAGTTTATTCAGTTTTATATATATGTCTTCTTTAATTCAATCCACCATTCTTCTTTTGTGTGTGTGTCTGAATGGGGTTTGAAATCAGGGCTTTGTACTTACAAAGCAGGTATTCTACCACTTGTGCCATATCACCAGTTCATTTTGCTCTTGTTATTTTGGAGACAGGGGTCTTTTGAAATATTTGCCACAGTTGGCCTCAAGCTGTGATCCTCCTGATTTCAGTCAAATAGTTAGGATATAGGCATAAACCACCTGTTCCAGCACAATGATCATTCTTATAATCATGCTTTTGAGTTCTTTGTCTGGGCTTTCTTCCTCTTTACTATCTTTAGTGTCTGATACTGGGTTGTTGATCTTTGCAGGTGCATGTCGCCTTATTTTGTTCATATTTCTTGTATTTCAGCATTGAGATTTGCCCATCTGAGGGTAAGTAATTGATTGGAACTTTTAATCACCTGTAACCATGCAAATGAAGTGTTCTTAAAGTTTAAGCAGGATGTCACATGATCCCCAGGTCTGTGCTCAGAGCTCTAAGGCCCGCCTGGCAGCAAGCCCTCACAGATAGCCCCTTGGTGCTGATGTGTTCTTAGGGTTCAGTGTAAGAGTTGCAGTATAGTTTCTCACCTCTGGACTGGGGGGTTGCTCAGTAGCCATCCTTTTTACTCACATGCTTAGGGCACCAGGCCTGATCCCCAGATCCACTCAAATAGAGGAAAACTAGCTAAAGTCTCTTGTATTTCCTCGTGTACAGGTTTTTTTTTTTTTCAGCTCAATAAAGTGGTTTGTATGTGTTGCTCTTATATGTGAGTTAGGCAAGGCTGGTCAAGGGTCAGTTGTCCACTTCTGTGTTGCTTCCACCTTAGAACCTTCCCTTCTTTGTGTACTGAAAACCACTGCTGGTCACACAGAGCTTTTTAGTCTATGGGTCAGGCAAGTTCCCACATGTGGCACAGGATCCCTATTTGCTCTTCCAGGGAAGCACATGTGCCACCCTTAGGGTGGCCACCAAATGTGTCTTATAGTGGGGTAAAGTACTGGTGGTGGAGAACTGAGGAACTCAGGTGTTATTTCTCAGTTCTTTCAGACTCTGCCCAGAAGTTCATCACCCTGTGGAAGCAAGGAGGCTGAGATATTGCACAATCCCCGGATATGTGCTCAGAGCTCTCAGACCTCCCTTGCAGCAAGCCCCTACAGATAGCTCCTAGATGCTGAGTACTCTGCCAGCCATGGACTTAGTGCTATTTTTGCATGATCCTCAGGCAATGGGACTTGCTCTTGCTAAAGATAGCAGAGCTACTAATCACTGTGCACTTCCCTGCCAAGCCTCCCGCTACTTAATCTTCTCCATCTATGTCAGTCCTTGTCCTTCTCTACAACAATCTCTGTGGCCATCTCCCTTTCCAATATTGTGATGGGTGTCCTAGGATTCCCTGAGCTGTGATTTTTTTTCCCATATTCCCAAGGTAGCTCAATCTCAAATCCTGCCTGGCTGAAGACCTCTGCTGGAAGCTGGCAGCTCCTGAAACTGAGCATTCTGCCAGCTGTGGGTTCAGTGCTGTTTCTGTTTTTTTTGTGGCACTGGAGCTTGAATTCAGATCCTCACAATTGCTAGGCAGGTGTTCTACTACTTGAGCCACTCTACAAGCCCTCAGTGCTGTTTCTGAAATTATCTTAGGCAATGAAAGTTGCTCTCACTGGTAGGGTAGGGCTGCCAACCACTTTACCTTTCACTTCCTGAGTTCTCAGGCACTGAGTCAAACCCTCTTCCTATCCACAGCCACCTCTAATGACCATCTCTCTCTTAGACACTGTGGCTGGATTCTCTAATGCATCCTGGGTTGCAATTGCTCTTTGTTTTCAGATACCCTGAGTATACCTCAGTCCTGAGTAATAGGTCCTCTCTCAAGATGATGCTTCACCTCTGTTCTCTGAGCAAAGGGGCGTGAAAAATTGTCTTGTCCAAGGCTAGCCTGCCACACTGAGGGAACCACTGTCTCACCAAATCCACACACTGGGTTTAAGGCTTGTGGGAGATTTGGGCTTGTCCTACAATTAGGTCTCCCAGGCTGTCACAAAAGCTACCTAGCATGCCTTGTGGTGGAAGCTTTGGCTTTCACAGCCCCTAGGGGAACCATGGGTGGAGTAGCAAACTGTTGACTAATTTACTCTGTCATCTTTCTGTCTCTCTGTACTTTTCAGCTGTCTTGTCCTTCTTTTGTGGTTCTTGGTGCTCTTTTTCTCCTTCTCTCTTCCAAATGTAGTCTCCTTTGTTATCTTGATTCTTCTCATTCATGGAGTCTGATGAAGAAAGCTTCTACTCTGCCATCTTACCAGCAGCCCCTTCAATGTCATGTTGTTTTAAATTTAATTTTGTTGTTTGAGAAAGGGCTTTTCTATGTAGCTTGGGCTAGCTTCAAACTCATGGTCATCCTGCTCTTCCTCTCAAGTGCTGAGATTACAGGCATGTACCACCACACCTAACCATCGTATATATTTTATCACAATGAATAAAGGCATTACTTACTAGGTCTTATATCCAAAAACATGGAAAGACAAGTGGTAGCTTGGGAGGTCTCAGAACTGATTGAAATGTTGAATTAGGATTTGGCCATACACGTGTTGCCTTCTGTTTATATTTTCTCTCTGCTCAGCTTCTACTACTTTCTATCACACAGGACACATACTGCCTCAGGGTTGGTTTCCTCTTCTAGATTTGCCACCAAAGGGTGTCCAAGGTACTCTTCTGCTGGTCATTAATTAGCTGGTCTAGAGTTGGGACCTAGGGAAGGATTCTGGTTGGCTACTTCAGAGCTAAGTCACAGGAAGGATTCTGATTGTCTGATCTAGAATCAGGTTCCAGATGATACTCTAATTGGCTTGTCTTGAGTCAGGAAGCCCCTGACCCAATAAGCAGTGGCAAAGGGCCATTTGCAAGCAGGTCACCTGAGACCACCTTCCCCCATTTGAAGTCAGGTCACCTGAGAACAGTCAGCAAAGTGCAAGAGGGAGCCTAAAGTCCCTGCTGTCCCTTGTGCTCTGTAGGAGGAAGAAAAGGTCCCCCCTGAGGAAGTCTTCACTGTGGAATCTATGCCTTATATATGCCGGGAGTCCCCAGGCCGGCGCTCCAGCTATGCTTTCTCCCATCATGAGGGTTATGCGAACCTCATTACTCAGGGCACCATCCTGCGGAAGTCTACTGAGGCCAGTGGTGAGACGCTGTATGAATCCCCAACTGTATCTGATGAAGAATTACCCTCAAGCCCCAAGGAGGCATTCCAGTACTCCAGAAAGACATCTTTCTTAAGGAAGATTAACCAGCACCAGGGGAAGGTTTCCTCTGAGGATCTACAGCCCTCCACCATGAACTCATCCTTCACTGAGGAAAGGCAGTCCACTTTTATAACAGGCACTCACCCTGCTATCATTGAGAGGTCTCCCACAACTATGAGCATGCCATCTTTGTCTTCCAAGAAGAAGACATCATCATTTCAAGAAAACCAGGTAACACCTTCTGAGGACCAGTCTCAATTTTTTACCAGTTGGTCAACACTTTCCCACCAGACCTTGGAAAACCCGACGGGGCCCTTGGAGGATGGGTCGTCATCCTGGACACCATTCTGGAAGATCAGGCAAAACGAAGCCCACCCTTCCAAGGAAGGAACATCCAGTTCCCAAGATGACCCACACATCACTGCCAGAGACCCATCCACCAAGCATGAGACAGTCATCCATGAATAAGCAACACACAAGAGGTGGAACCTTAGCCCACACAGAAGCAGCCATCACCCAGGGTTGGGGTGGCTTCTGATGCCCTTTGAGGACCAATTTCCATCTGATTTATTGGTGCAGCCACTCTCCTTCACCGAGGGGAGCAGTCATTGCCCTGTAAAAACCAACCAGTGAGCAGGCCTTCCTCCAAAAGTGACCATTCCACATGCTGTCTTTCCCTAATAAACTAGGGTCTGTCCAACCTCAGAGCTTCTTTGGACTCACTCCTTTCCTATGTTTCTTTTGGTGGAAGCCATGCAGGATATTCTTTCCCAGCTTCTAAAATATGAAAACACTGGCCTGTAATGGTCAGGTGGGGAGTTGCAAGGAAAACTGTTTTCTCTCTTGGTAGACAATGTGGGTGGAATGAGCATGTTCTGCCTTGGCATCCCACTGCCTGCCCATTTGTCTCTCCCAGAGAAATGCATATGTTCCAGCTCGGGCACCTTGGAGATCTTCCTTCCACTAGGTTTCCTCCCTTCCAATAAGCAATGACATCTCAGAAGGTGGTCCTGACAAGGTTCACATCTTGATGCCTAAACATGGTCTTAGAACCCATTTTCCTGATGATGGGGACAGTGGGAGGAGGCTCAAAGTTATCAGAAGGGCTCAGATTTGGGAAACTTGAGTGTCTCCTCCACCACCCCCCAACAGTTAGACAAAAAGAATCAAATTGCCTGATTGACTCTCTCCTTGGAAAAGACATTTAGTTATTCATATTAATGTGAAACCAACCTGGATGGGGGAAGAGTGGGGGGAGGGTACATGAAGTTGATGACAGACACATGCACCCAAGATTCAGAAGCAGGGGCCAGGGGCTCCTTGCCTGGCTGGATCAGGCAGATGGCATGGAGGGCCAGGAACTGAAGGGAAGTTCCATGTGCTCAGAGCTGCCTTGCTCCAGGACCCTTCTTTTCTCAGCATTTGGGGGCCTTTTCACCTGAAGGGTACACTACTTCAGAAAGGGGGCACAGAAACATAGAGGAGTGCAAATAACTATGGAATGGCACCAACTCAGACATGAAGTACAAGAATGAGGCATTGAACCTCCTGCCTCCTGATCATCACTTACTATGTTATTGGTAAGAAGGAGTAAACACTAGCCATGCATCAAGTCTAATTCCATATCATCATTTTTCCTCCATTTTTTATTTGAATATAGAAATACAGAACAATAAATACTCTTACAAGGCATGTCTAAAAAGTGAGGAAGAGAACAAGCCAGGGAGTGGAAAGATACACTTGTATCTCATGTGCTCTCTTATTTACCAGTGTAAGTAAATCTGTAAATGCAGGTTGTCCTTCATCATTTGCTGCCCTGACAATATGTCTCCAAAGGAAGTGTTCAAAGAAATGGATCATATTGTCTGCAAAATTATAACTAAATAGTATAAACTATTAAGTCATGGATCACAAATGTATTTTAGAAAATAAGGTTTTCTAAAATCACATAAACTACACATTAAATATTTTGATGTATTTCAGAATTGTCAAAGGCTAGAAAGAATTTTGCTGGATATTCCCAGTGAAGGAGAGAAATCTTTGGTAGACAACAACCCGATGGTCATGGGGACAGGGTTGGAGTCCATCAGGGCCTGGCAAGGATCCTGACTCTGCCTGGGTGTGGGATGGAACCAGTGCATGTGTTTACTCATATATATAAGTGTATGTGTGTGTGTATGTGTGCGTGTGTGTGGTATGTAGTGATGGTGTTTGAAAAAGATCCACTGGGGGCCAGCTGCAGCTCAGTGGTAGAATGTTTAGAATTCTTGCTTGGCATGTACAGGGTCCTGGGTTCCATTCCCAGCCAGAAGAGAGAGGGAGAGAGAGAGAGAGAGAGAAGAAGGAGGAAAAGGAGGATGGGAGGATGAAGGAAGAAAGGAGAAAAGAGAAGGAAAGGAAGAAGGAAGGGAGGGAGGGAGGGGTAAAAAAAGAATCCAGGTCCACAATAATGAAAGCCAGACTTCATTTGAACTGACCATACTTCATCATGACTGTGAGGAAGGTTCCACAAGCAGAATAATCCCAAGGTAACCCCTCATTCAATGGAGAACACAAGAAGCCCCTTGTACCAGACCTTGGGCTCAGAGGCTGGGGATTGCACAGATCTTACTCAGACACAGGGGGTCCTAGAACCCAGTCTCCTGCAGGCATCTCATATGTTTCTAAGCAGGCTGTGGACCTGGAGCACTTATTGCCTTTGAGGGCCCCTTCCTTCCTCCATCAAAACACAATCAAAAGCAGGGCATGGTAGTATATGACTGTAATGCCTGCACTTAAGAGAATCTGATATTCAAGCCAGCCTGGGATATATAGGTCTACCTTATCTCAATCCTTCCACCCCCAAATATATATAAATATATTAGTATGATAGGTTATAAATTATCTTTGACCTAAAATTTCATTTTTTCCTTCTGATTTTAAAAGAAAGCATCTTGGGCCCTGGGACTTCTGGGCACAGAAGACCTATCACCTGACAGTTCTGGGAAAGATAATTCCAGAGCCACCAATCAGGAACTTGGAGGGTGGGAGGGAAAGGAGGACTTCAGGTGTCAGTGAGGGTAGGAGGAAGGGCGCTGAGATCCCCAAAACGGAGCTCCCAACACATGTGAACAGCAAGAAAAGGAACTGGAGCTGGAAGGGAACCAGGAACCAGGAACCAGGGTCAGAATTACAGAGAGGAACAGGGATCCAGGGACAGACAATGAGGGATAGGGACCCAGAACAGGAGAGCAGGGAAGGACAGGGACCCTGGGCTTGGGGCAGGGAAAAGAAGGCAGAGAAAGAGAGAGGATATGGGACAAGAAAAGGAGGGAAAGCTCAGAGACCCAGGGACAGAGAGAGCAGGGAGAGGCAGGGAGCCAGGACAAGAAGATCAGTGTGGGAGGGAGAACCAGGACAAGCAGACATAGGTGATTTCGAGGGGGCAGACAGCAAGAGGACAGAGAGATACACAGATACACAGTAGAAATGTCCAGAAGACAGGGAGGTAGAACCAGACAAAAATGGAAGGCTGGGAAGGGCGAGAGTTGGGGTGATGACAAAGAGGAAGCAGATAGTGTGAGGAGATGAAGAAAGGGACACAGTGTAAGCACGCTTTCCAGGCCATCACTAGGCACCACTTCTCTGACCTCTTACCCCTAATCCCTCACTGTCCCCTCCTCTGGCAAAAGTTCGAGACACCAGACCCTGACCTCTAACCTCAAAGACCCTGAACAGTACAGAAATTAGTATTGCTGGCTTTCAACTCCCTTCTGCAGCCCAGACCTGGGGGATGTCCAGGAAATCACAGGGGAATAACTCCACAAGTATGTTATTCCATCCAATGGATGTGGGGGAAAGAAGAGGTTACCTATTGGTCCTAGGGTACATTGCCAATCCCAGAAATCAGGTTCCATGGATGGCAGCAACTAGCCAGGGTTGCTCACCATCTGTGCTATACCTGTAAGGCCTGATGACCTTGGGGATCCATATCAGGCTGTACTTGGCAAAGTCTCTGTCCCCCAGGAGCAGGCTGAGACCTACTTAGAAATGGCTACCCCTAAGTAGTTAAGGACCCAGGGACCTGGTGGGGACCAGAAAGTCCAAGGAAAGGGCCCTTGGTGAGGGAGGGGGGACCCGTGCCCCATAGGCAGTAACAAGTGTGGAATGAGCTTTAACTTGATCGGAATCTCAGTTTGGAGGCTCGGTCCCCCTCTGCATCCTTGAAACCTTTGCTCTGTTACCCTCAGGTGTCCCTGCACTGGAATGTCCCTGCTGCTAGCCCCTCCTCCATTCCAGTCTTGGTGACCCAATGGGACAGCACAGGGAACTTGTTGTTGTTGTTGTTATTGTTGTTTGTTTCTGGAACAGTCAGAACCAGATGGCATGTTAGATCAATGTACATAGATGTCCCCAGAAATGAATGTTCCCTGCACTGTGTGACTCATTTTGTGGACACAGGGATTGACCATGGAGTGTATGATTATGAAATGACATGCAACTTCTCTCCCTTCTCTCTCTCTGACAGGGGATACTTGGAGCTCTAATTGGATGCTTCAGGTTTTCTGATTAAAAAAGACACTTTACTGGATATGTTAGAAAATCACCCAGGGTGTGGGGGGGATGGGAGAGATAGAGAGAGAGAGAGAGAGAGAAAGAGAGAGAGAAAGAGAGAGATGATGAGGCAGAACAACCTAGAAAAAGTGGTTGATTTCAAAAGAAATGTATCCATGAAGTGAGAACAGGGTAATATTAAATAAAAATGACAATTATTAAGTAAGAAAATGATTTTTAAATTTTAAAAGAAACTGTGGGTGTGGCTCAGTGTTAGAGTATTTTCCCTGCATGTGTGAGGCCCTGGGTTTCATCTCTCTAGTACCACAAAACACATAAGAAAATGTTTTAAAATTTAAATATGTAATATCTGGAACAAAGTGATTCTGTGTAATGATTGGATGATAATGTTTACAGATATTCCAGAAAAGAGGAGACATGTGATTGGAAAGGAGGGAAAGACCACCATAAATTTGGAGGGTGAAGTAGGCAGATTTTTCCTCGGATCTAGAGGCTATCCAAAACTAGAGGAAGGGATGCCAAATGATGGGGGGAAATTGCAGAGTTGAAGGACACAAGTCTCCTGGTTAAAAAATCCCAACACATGCTCACCTCCATGAATGAGGGGAAAAACATCCTTGTGAAATTTCAGAGCACCGAGAATAAAGAAAGAATCCTGAAAGCTTTTCAGAGAAGAAAAGCAGATGTCACATATAAGATCCAGATTCAGAACAGCTTTGAGTTTTTCAGAAACCAGGAGACTTCAAAAATTCTGAGGAAAATGTATCTTCCACTAAAATTGCCAAATATCCAAATATCAAGTGTGAAGGCAGAATAAATACAGTTTTTCTTGCACTCTGAAAATAGTCATTCTACAACCCTTTCTCAGAAAGGTAGTGGAGAATGATCCATTTGAATGAGGAAGTAAATTTTTT